CCTCGAGGCAGTTACACAGTGCTTACAACTGTCTCTGGAAGTGAAAGCACCAGAAAATAAATCAAGTCATACGCAGCTGTCATCCGAACGCAAGGAAGTACGCACAAGATGCCGAACACCCTTAGCAGGATGCAACGCACCCTTCTTGCGACTCGCCGAATACCTCACGGTGGTGATGTGAGAGCCTGGTCCGGTGAGAACCCGGCGTGCTCCGTCCCGGCTTTGTAGGGATGCGAGGTCCATGGTCTAAAGACTACGGCATGCACGACTATGAGTACACCCCCCCCCTCCACCATGCACCGCAAAGTGTACACGATCACATTTCCCAGAAAGCATGTTCAACTGATTAAACTAGAGCTACCCAACTGAGGACAGTAAGCTAGCTGCTTTGATCAACCTTTCAACCACGCTATCTTCTCTTCGAAGCCATCGAGTGCACGACGGCGCAACGTGAAGAATACAACTGTGGTGGCAGTTGAACCCTTATGGTGGGGCGCCGCGATCTTTGCATGTACGAATGTACGCCCCTTAAGGGTGCGGTAGGGATCGCAGTTTTGCTCCCCAAAAGTCTAGGAAACGCCTGCATATCTCAATTTTTCAAAGTCTAACTCCAGTACGACACCTAATCACAAAATAATCGCCGGCGCACCCCCCCTCGTAGACAATGTTAGTATCTGAGATCGTAGCCCTTGCGATACCTGCAGACTAGCGGTCCGCGATTTCCCAAACAATCTTTCTGTCATCGAGATTGGTGAGATACAAGCAGGATTTTTGCAGCTGCTGTGCGGTCCGATTTTGAAACGCTTCAAGCATACAGCAACGGCGAATCAGCGCCTATGTGAGAGTCTGTGGGGTCGTGAACTTCAGCGCAGCTCTTCCCTCACATGTTCTTCTCGTCGCCACAGTCGATTTGCATGCCTGCGGTGATGTATATGTAGGTCCAGCCAGAAGCGAAGGTGCTTGAAGCGTTTCAAAATCGGACCGCACGGCAGCTGCAAAATTCTGCTTGTATCTCGCTGATCTCGATGATAGGATGATTGTTTGGAAAATCGTGGACCGCCAGTCTGCAGTGCATCGCATGGGCTACAATCTCAGATACTAACGTTGTCTACGGGGGGGGGTGCGTGGACGATTATTTTGCAATTGAAGTTTCGTACTGGAGTTTGACTGGAAAACTGATATATGCAGGCGTTTCCTAGATTTTTGGAGAGGCAAACTGCGATTCCCACCGCTCCCTTAGAAATGTTTTGGTTTGCCTCATGCAAGGCCAGTTGATAATCGTTTCCGAGTAGGAATACGAGGGTGCGGTGGAAATTTCACACCGCCCCCCCAGAGAGCAGGAGAGCACACCAAGTCACGTAGGCACTCGGTGCTCGCCTAAAGAGAGAACCTTTTGCAATAATGCTTCTAAGCTCTATGCTGTACTTCTGTGAGCACCTCGGAGTCAAGTTTTGGGAGTTACAGTTGAGAAATTGGGCAGCATACCTCGGCTATGACATCTCGTTTGCCATTTCCAACTGGGAAGTTCAACCTCACCCGGTTGACACTAGTAGGAATTTCCATGACAGTATTCAAAACTCCGGGTTGGAACGTGAAACTGCACTGCGCGTGACGGATCCACACCCCACCCCAGCTCCGTAGGCTTGGCTCCGAGAAGCTCACAGCCGTGAAGAATACAGCTTCAAACGTTTTGACCAATGTTTCTTCGTGAGGCGAGCACACAAAACTACCGTGAGTTAGTTGGCCTGCTTTCCAACATCTTTTCGCACAAGTTCCTGCTCTCTGATCCCGTATTCAAAATAGTTTCGACAACTGGTCTAATCGCGTCGTTGATATTAATTACCCGCCAGGAGTCTGCCCGACGAATCTTCATCACAAACGATTCACAATTCGCCCCACCGCACCCCATCCGAACACGTGCATGTGAATGCTTCGTGTACTGGCGATCCCAGGAGCTCATGTGTGTACGGGAACAATCATGATAACTTATGCACGGGACACACAAGTTAGCTGGCGGTACTTGACACACAAGTTGGGTATGTCAAGCAGCAGCAACAACAAACAGAAACTATTATTACAAAAGCGTTGGAGGAACGATGCAAATATCAACATTTTTTCTGAATTGCACGCGACTTGGCTGCGTGCATAACGCTCCAGCTCAGGTGGTCGCAACAATCCTCCGCACGTTACCTTGGGCTTCTAGCTCATTAGGGAACCACGTTTACGTCGGCGAAGAGTGCAAACGCATAGTTTCAAACTGGCGTTTCAAACTGGCTATCGTATACTACTGTATCATATTCCATGGTTGCATTTTACCTACAGCAAGTGGAACTCAGCAATCACTGGTTCCGCGCCGAGTACTTGAGAACTCAGGAATACTAGTTCATTTTTCGCTCCCTTGTAATATTGTGGGAAAGACACGGGGGGATCAGATTGTCATACATTCCAACTACAGCCACAAGTGTAGAATGCTTTCAAGTACATGCCGCGTTCTCTCACCCGTGCGCCTCGAAGTTTGGCCAAAGCGCTTCCAGTCGAAGATCGAGCAACCAGTCCATGATGCTATCGGAGTTGCCGTTTCCTCCCATGCTGACCAGGGGCGACGCTTGATTGTCTGAACTGGTCGCTCCTTGTTCGTCCGCGTAGGCAATACAGCTCTATTCCGGCCGGGGCATGGGTAACACAAAAATGTGACAAGAACTGAGCCACAACCGAACCACATGCTCTGCCGTCAATCACGATCGACACCCGCGCAAACACAGATGAGGTGAACACTTAAAGCAGCACAGTTGGTTCCCCCTCTGTTTCGGCATCTCAACAAGAGCAACCTGACCTCGATGGTTGACAGCCAGGCTTCTAAAGAATTGCTGTTAGTAGCCGCGAGCTCCATCTCCTCGATCCCCTCCTTATCCTCAGTCACCGCTGTCCGGGCCACATGCGTTTTGATAATTTGGAACCTCGAAGCCTAATCGGGAAAGATGGGACAGCGTTCGGGTACAAGGGTGGCACGCAGATACATTGATTGGCTAGTCTAGATACGCTGCAATTTCCCGGCCACAACGGAGTCGACTCTTCTCGGTGAGCTGGAGAGTCCGCCAGGTTGTTGCCGTGGTGGCAAACGCGAAAGAGATTCCATGCAAGAGTACGTACCTTGCCCCGTTTAATCGTACACCCTCTCAAGCCGACGGTCTCGATAAGTCCACCATCCATGTAGCACACCAGCTCTGCTCCCGTCAGCACAAACCAGCGTTTTTTCCAGTTCCGGAAGCCGATGCCCTAGAAACGAGGTGCGCCAAAGAACAGAATAAAAAAAAAGAGAAATGGCAGCCACACGCAAGAGTTACAGCGCGCTCGACACTCTCGCTGGCAAATAATATACGCACAAGCATCCGTAAATATGGCCACTTGAAGACGTTCGAAGGCTACAGATAGTGCGCCTCACTTGTGTAAACACATGCACCGCTGTAATAGCGAGTGTGCAAGTGATACAACGACCATCCGAAGAGTCACTGACGGTAGTCCCAGTTCTGCAAGATCTGGGGCCCCACTCGCGGGTACGCACGTTTTGTGTTTCAGGCCTACCTGATTTTTAATGTGCAGGTAGCCCATTTTGGATGGCACAAACGCTTCCCCGTCTCCGGTCACAGAAGGCAGCTGGGAAGCCGAGAAGAAGGACTGGTCGTCTCCACCACCCATGGCTGGGGGCGAAGGAAGGCCAGAGTTGGCATCAGCATCTCCGGCCCAGTGTGCCCTGTCGTTGTCATCATTACGCCAAGCGTATGCACACCACCGACAAGTTCAGCATGCATCCGAGAAGCTCACTCCCACAGAACCTCGATACAGGACCGTGGACCAATCGCTGGACAGCAAGCCACTGCCACAGAAAATAATCTCCTTTGATCGGGTAAAGAAGGCGCAACTCTACCCACGCCATCGCATTGGTTTTAAGGTTTTGAATCTGGTGTGGGCAAGGATGGCAGCTGATAAAAGAATTGCCGATATTGTCCGCCCCCCAGTGGTGTGCATACGCACAATAATAGCTGCAAAAGCATTGCATGCTAACCTGTCTCGGCCGGCCTGAACACGCGTCTTGTCGGCGTCCGAAAAGTTTGCAGTCTGTTCAAGACCATCAATATCCGACTTTCCGATGATCGCGGATGCGGGCGGCGTCTCAGCGCTGTCGATTCGGTCTTCACCCTCCGGTATGGCCGGAACTTCTAGCGGCTCTGGTATTGCGCACGTATCGTTTGGCAGCTCTGATAGTAGCTCCTGCGTTTTTGTCGATCGCACAAGCTTGGGTATGGTGGTCCTAGAACACAGTTCTCAGTGTGATTCGCATGTGGCATCGCTTACGGTAGACAGTGATTTCGCCCTTGCTACATGTACCCCAGATAAGCCGGGACGAGGTTCAAACCGTTGGGCAACTTCTGACAGTCCTCTAACTCTCGGAGAGCCGACAGTCCGCTGCGAGGCTAGGCTGCTGTACAACACAAGATGCAAAACATTCCTCGAATGTAGTGTTTGCTTCGCTGTAGTTTGCTGGTTGATGGCGAAACCGCCGGTAGAGCCTCGAGCACACCCTGCGTTTCCACGACAATCCAACACAAAGGAAGCTATCCGTACCTCTAGCCATGCTCTCGTTTCGTCTGCCGAGGGGCGTTCTTCCGCCTCATACTCCATGCACCTGCCAGATGACAAGAGAATAGGCGGGGCCCCTCAAGTAGAAGTGGATGGCTGTATCCAGGTGATTTTTTTTGTTGTTGAGATGAGATGAAGAGGCATGCTCCCCACATTGTACTTGACCCGCAAGGTCAACGTTGAGACCTAGTTCGTGCGGACACAGGAACCCACATTGCGGCTAAGTTAAGCAGAGAATCCGGTGCATCCGGAGGTGATTCCTGTCGGACTTCTTCTGCTTCCAAGGCGAAGAGTTTAGCGGGAGTTCTGCGAGCGAAACCGTTTTCGCCGATCTTCTTCCGCGTGATTAACTCCAGCAGGACCATCCCTTCAAAGTGCATGCCCGACCAGCGATTACGGCATGCACGAGCACGGAAGAACGTCAACATGGTGAAATTAATGCGGTATTTTCCATCTTGCTGATTCATGAAGCTACTGCTGGTCTTCGGCGTCGTCCTCGTTTGCAACCAATCGGAGTAGTTCGCAACCTTTGTTGGTGTTCTTCGAGCCACAGCAGTGCAACAGGCCAAACTGTGTCGCAACCGGAGCGCTGCTGGCCCAAACGGTTCCGACGAACCAGCCATACACATGAGAGTTCGACCCACATCCCAAAGCCACCCCTAGAGCTCACAATCGGCATCCAACGATCAGTGCGGGTTGTTCCTTGGTCGCCAAGACAACCGCAGTGTCACCACCACAACATAAACAAAAATCATCCGGACGGCCAAACCAGTCGGCGAGGACGAGTCAATGAGAGCAAAGGTGAATCGTTCTCCGGGGTCAAAGCGACTGGTGTTGCGCCCCTCCGAAGGTATAGACCACAAACCATAAAATGGGTGCGTGATTCTACCGGGACCCGGGTGGTAGCACCAATCCTGAACTCGAGAAAAGCAGCTTAACGTAGGCAACGACAGCGAAGAAGCTGATCCTTACCAAAGCTGAACATGTCAGCAGGGAAGCTGAACGACTCGTCAAAAAGCATCTCTGGCGCCATGTACTCGTCTGTGCCACAGATGGTCATCTTGCCATTGCTCGACACCTGTTTACCATGTATTAGTTACGGCGATGCATCATTTTCCCATCCATGAGCGGCAGTGACCTACAGCAGTAGCTCTGTCCGAAGAAGCCTTGAGCCTTGGGCGGTGCTTCGTGACAAACTAGGCTTTCGGAGGAAATACGCGTCTAGTCTAGATCTCCAGGACGCAAAGACGTTTCTGTCACCCTGCCAAAAACCAACACGAGCTAGCCCTTATGGAACATCGTCGGATTGTTGCGAAGAGTTCCTGAAGGTGGTTTGTGGGTATAGCTGCAGCTGAACCTCGAGCCGACTCTCTACCCTTTTGACACCTTGGATACTAAAGCAGGCCATGGATAAACGCACTGCACTGACCCATCATAAGTTGAAGTGTTGAAGCGCCGCACATCGGTAGCTTACGTTGCGAAATACGAGGTACTAGGTTGCGTTAATGTCTAAATCCACAGCAGCTTTGATTGTGGAGCCTCTACCCGAACCTGTAGTTTTGTGTCCACCAAGTGCCGCAAATTGTGAGACTACCCAATGTCCTTGCCTTGGTAAATGGTTACAAGCACCATGTGATGCCGAAACGAGCCTCACCTCACGGGCCATGCCGAAATCGCTCAGCTTGCAGTGCCAGTCTCCGTCCAACAAAAAGTTGCTGCTTTTGATGTCTCGATGGATTAGTTGTTGGCTATGCAAGTACTCTAGTGCCTCAGCCCCCTGTGCGAGAAAAAAGCAAGAGTAAACGGAAGGTGAACATGGCTGCTGCAGTAGTAGGCAGCCCGGGAGTCCCACATGCCATGTGCGGGGTGCAAGCAGCACCTGCACGTAAGTTTGCTGCAGGCTCCCGCAACGCATCTCACCGATACCACCAACACCAACACAATAGCAGAACTTGGTCCAACAGAACAATGGGATTCAAGCGATTTTGCTGTGCGAGAACCATTCGAAGCGTGTATCGTTGCATCTTGCCTTTGAGGCCCGAGTGCAGAACTGCATTGTTACACAATCAAACAACGAGTGAAAATTTGCGACAGCCAAGCTTCTGCGTAACCGCAGTGAAAAGTAGATTATACCCCATTCTCCCATTAATACCTCTTTCGCAATTTGTATCCGGAATCTCCATCCCAGGGGCGTTTCAGTCCTCAGCAAGAGCTTGAGTAGATCACCACCTTGGGCATACTCCGTAATGATGTACACAGCATGCAGTTGCCCACGCGACTTCGCAATCACGTTGTATGCGCTAAGGTAGACGTGTCAAACAGTTTGGCGAGGGGAGGGCATGCGTACGATTCCAATTCGTGAGTCTTGCCTGCAAGGTACACATGCGGTAGTACATGAGTTTTCTGGGCTGGGTGTGAAACGTTGAGCTGGATGTTTGAGCAAAACCACGGAATGCCGTCAACAGACACCACCAGGACAACGACAAACACGAGCGTTGTCACATATGGTCCGTTCAGGACAACACGTTCAACAACTTCTCCTGCACTGAAGAGTAGGTGAACTTTTTTCGGGGTCGGGGTGAGTGATTGTTCCAAAGTCTAATACAACGTTAAACACCTTGTCTCCAGGCGCACCTCCCAATGGAAAGTATTCATAATGTGTATATGTGCCCTGCGTCGATATGCCGAAAAAAACGTTGCTTGGCAAAGGTAAAAAAACAAAAACGTTTCTGAGGCATCAACATGTACACCCCAAAAGCAACAACAATAAAGTACCACCAAACTAAATAAAATCAGTGTGGTATTCTCTGATCGATTATTTCTGCGACCACCAACCAACAATTCAAAGTAGCGTGCGGATAGCGGCTCTACTCGAAAATCCGCACATTTTCTCCCCCCCGCCCCAGCACCCCGATTTCGTTGTTGTGGTTGTTGATATTGTTCTTGTTGTCTTCACACTATAAGTCGTTCCGATTTCCGCTCAGTACCTTCTAATGCTCGTACAGGTTCAACTGACGCGGAGGCCGTCTGTGGTCAAAGTCAACTACATAGACGTACCAAAAAGAGGGTTCACCTTTCTCGCAATCAAAGAATGGAAAAAAAAGGGAGCCAGAAACGGTCCTCTAGACGCAATAATTGATATAGCATAGGGCGGCGGACACGGGGGTCTACCGCTCTCCCCGTCCTCCGTTTGAGATCAATGTATGGATCCCGATGACATGTTTCACTTGACGATCAGTTTTTTCACTTGATTAAAGTATCGAAATTCGAACAAGATGTCTTGATTGCTTGTTGCGGGATTGTGCTGACTGAAACTCCAATTTGCAACTGGGGAAAGTGGATGTGCAGACGGGACGGTAAATGTGAGGTAGCAGTTGCAGGCTTTACACACAGTAAAACGGGACGGTGGTTCGTTGAGGTGGTGTGCACAACAGCAGTAGGAACGATAGATGCAAGTTCGAAGTCGGGAAAAGCGTGCGTCACCATGCTCCTTACACACGTCTCTGAAGATATAATTGTTTGAACGTAACGTTGAAGCTGGGCTCACACACATGTGTTTTTTTTTTCTCCCATCATTGGACTCCCCCCCGGTGTTTACCATCGGGGTTGGGTTTTCGTCGCTTGGCAACGACGTTGTAAAACAAGCCGCCTCCCCCGGTGTTTGCCATCGGGGTTGGGTTTTCGTCGCTTGGCAACGACGTTGTAAAACAAGCCGCCCC